GCATGCCCTCATTTGTTCTTGGCAGACCTGAAGTTTTAAAATTGGCATTTTAGTACCCTTGTGACCCTTACATGTTATTTTAAAAGTTTCTAACCCTTAATGTTTGTTTACTTTTACATAATTCAATTTTAAACCTACCCCAATTCTATTTCAAAATAGAATTGCTATAGGTTTAAACAGTGAACTTATTCTTTATGATTACTATCAAAAACTAGCTGCTCCTTATGGAGCTTACCAAAAGCTTATCGTTTATGTTTGAATTTCACGTATACCGAGCGCCTTTTATGGTGCTCGTGATGAGATAATGTTGACAATGGTGAAGTACTGGAGAATTAAGGTCTAATTTGATTCAGCGAGCAAGCTAATATCTCATTATTTACATGAAAAAAGATGATTCAATCTTAAATATAACTCTTATTTGCTCTATTTTAGTATGTACATGTTTGATTCATAGAAAGTTACACTGATGATTTCAGGTCTTCTCCGAGACGGACGCGTTGTGGCCGTGAAGCGTCTGTACGAAACGAGCTACAAACGCGTCGAGCAGTTCATGAATGAAGTCGGAATCCTCTCCCGAGTCCGCCACCCGAACCTCGTGACCCTCTACGGGTCCACGTCCCCGAACTCCCCCCACCTCCTCCTCGTCTACGAGTTCATCCCCAACGGGACCCTGGCCGACCACCTGCACAACCCCGTCCGTCCCCCTCTCCCTCCGCCTCTCTGCCGCCATCGACACCGCATCCGCCCTCTCCTACCTCCACTCCATCGACATCATCCACCGCGACGTCAAAACCCACAACATCCTCGTCGACAACAACTTCAACGCGAAGGTTGCCGATTTCGGCCTCTCCCGCCTTTTCCCCGCCAATGCCACGCACGTGTCCACCGCGCCCCAAGGAACCCCAGGGTACCTCGACCCGGAGTACCACAGGCTCTATCAACTTACAGATAAGAGCGACGTTTACAGCTTCGGAGTGGTCCTTATGGAGCTCATATCGTCTAGGCCGGCGGTAGATGTCAACCTTAGGCCGAACGAGATAAGTTTGGCTATGGTCACAATGAGTAAGATCCAGAACGGCGAGTTGGCGGATTTGGTCGATCCGGGACTTGAATTCGGCTCCAATCAGGAGGCGAATAGGATGGTGACTCAAATGGCCGAGCTAGCGTTCAGGTGTTTGCAGATGGATAGGGACATGAGGCCTCCGATAAAGGAGGTTTTGGAGGGGTTGAAGGAGATCGAGGTGGGTAGTCATTGTAGTGGCGACGATTGCGAGGTTAGGACTAAGGAGGAGTCGAGGCTGTTGAAGGATTCAGGGTCGATATCGCCTGATTCGGTGATGAAGAATTGTTGGATGAGTAGTAGTTCTACTACTCCGAGCTCTAGCAATCAAGGTATAGTCTGAGTTTGTAAGGGGATGTTTTCTCGTTTGAGACGATTGTGGTGGTGTGTAGTTCTCACATATGTTGTGATATTAAGAGGGCAATGTACATAGTAGGAAGAGGTTACTGTAGTTAGATACGTCGCATTTATTTGCAGAGGGTAATAATTGTAGAAGTGCTTAAACAGATTTTTTTTTTGGCCCTCGCACTTCACTGCCTTAATTTTATGTCATCATCTTTGTATTAAAGACATTTTCCTTGTTCTCTAGAAAGTTTCTGTTGGTTATATTGAACAGGACAGAGAGTCATATTGAAATGCGTAAGATCTGAGGGGTATATATCGGATGTTAACTCTTAAACTACACGACTGATAAACTGCGTCAGTTTCCACGTACGCCTGTAGACAAACACGGCAAGGGTACCAAATTTGAGTTTCAATTTCAGTCATCGATGAAAGAGATAAACTTAATGTTCTACTGTGGACTTCCTGTAGACAAACACGGCAAGGGTACCAACTTTGATTCAAGAATGAGATCAGCAGGAGATCTGCTCAGGGGTATTGGCCACGGCTTCCCTTCTGTTGATTTTTATGTTGTCTTTGTTAATTTCTTCCTCTCAAATTTCAGTGAAATTGAGACCACAGAGAATAGGTATGAAGATGAAATAAATTGAAACTTTTGGATATAAAAGTGCAAAAAAAATTAATGTTGAATATCATAATGCAAATTTGGGTGAATGTTGGAATTCCAATGTGAAAACAAGTCTATTATAAAATATAAATTAATAAATAGGGAGGTGGGAAAACATATTTTAATGAGTACGACTACTCAACTCGATCGTGCGCCTTTTATTGATGGAAACCTTTTTATATACGGTTTTTCTATAGAGTGCTCATGGGCACTCTATAAGAGAGGAGAGAGATAGAGAAAAATGAATGAGGAGGGAATCCCAATGCAAATTAGGGGCCCCCTCTTTATTCATTTCTCTCTATCTTTCTCCTTTCTTATAGAGTGCCCATGAGCACTCTATAGAAAGATTGTTTTATATATACTAAAACTGATGGGAATACCACTGTTCCTAAGCTACAATAGCGCTTAATAGTTTTGTCTTAAACCCATTAGTTTTAGTATACTAGGTGGAATACACGTGCACTGCACGTGGGTAAATAATTCAATTTTTTACTTTAAGTTTATTTATTTATTATAAAATGGTTGAAAAAAACTTTATAATTATCGTAATATATAAAAAAAAATTGGATATTCCAATGTGTGGTTTTAATATTTTTTCTTCCAGAGAAATAGTTACACTTAAAGTCTTAATGTATTAATAATTTAAAATTAATTAGTAATTTGAATGTATAATTTTAAAATATTAATGATGTAAGGGAGGACCGATACTAAAGAAACTATTATTATTAATGAAAAATAAATTCTTGAGTTCATCAAATAAAGATGGTAGATTTATCTAGTCATCAAGGATTTTGTTCAATTATAAAAAAATCACTTCCGCCTGTGGTTTATTTCTATTGTTGTTTATCCGGCGACCGAGTATTATTGATATTCAAAAACTTTGTTTTAGAATTTTCTAAATAGAATGTGCAAATTAAATCAAGAAAGAAAATATAAATTATGTGATCAATTCCAAAATATGATGTTGTACTCTTTTCACATCTTCCAAACTACTAATTGATTTGTCAAAATGATTATTCTCTAGTTTCAGAAAATTATAAAATATAGTCAGAGAATGATTTATACATATTATGCACTCATATTGATTGTATTTTAATAAAATAATTCATATCTATCCAATGTCAAACAACATCCAAAATTTTAGCTTAAGAAGTTAGAAGAATACAATATCTGCAACAATATTCATATCCAAGCTATGAGCTTCATAAACTTATAAGAATGTGAGTAATATAAAATATCAACTTAATTTATTTTGTCAAATAATTTATTACAAATCATGAAAGACAAGGCGAATCAGAAGGATCACATACCCATCCCAAATAAATATTAAAGTTCTCTTAGAGATTCTTATAGTAAAAGATTTTCAAAGTTGATGTGTAGGATAAATTTAAGGACAAATAACCCGAACCAGTTCATTGAGTGATAGACTTGCTATGAACTCCACTCGTATAAAATTGATGTCACATGTGCCTTAAGTTGTGGTTTTGTTTAAGAGCTAATTTTAGAAAACTCCCCCTCAACTATGATGGGCATGTCAACCCACTCCACCCCCTCCCCCACAAACTATTTAAAACTGAGTAAATCTCCGTCAAGTTTTGGGTGTTTTGTAGATAATCTATCGCAACCTTTAAAATATTGATTTAATCCCTATGAACATTTTTCACTTAAACCTGACCTCTCAAAATTAATACCATGGAGTCTTATATATTATGTGATAAGTACTTGACTTTGAAAGACTAAAATATTCACCAACCATAAAAAAATTACCTTGGTTTTTACCAGATGAAAGAAAAAGATGTGATATAGAGGGGAAAAGAATCGTAAATTGATTGTGGTCCTTTTATTATCAGTTGAGGGTTTTTTTTTATTAAAATTGCTTTCTTCAATATGGTGTTTTGTCCAAATCACATATTAAAGTAACTATGTTAAGGGGGTCTGCGAATAGAAATGTAAAAGATTAGAGGAGGTTTTATGGGACATGCTATAGTTGAGAGGTGTTTTCTAAAATTGTACCAAATTGAGAGGGGCTATCTATAACACCCCTCATAATAAGGGAGTTTAGTTAAATTGAATCAGTTGAGTGGGTTTCAAGACAATCCCCATAGTTGAGAGGGTTTTTAAATATTAACTCTTCTTTTCAATATCGTTTATTTATAAATTATCCCTCAAAATTTTAATAATTTAATATTAGTCCCTAAAATTATGAGCAATTTTAAAATTTTGAGGTAATAACATAAAATTATTGAATATTTAAAATCAAGAAACTAATATCTAAATAACATTTACGTATTTGCTCTTACAGACATTATATTAAATATCAGCCGATATATTGCTATATCGACTAATATATTGGGTCAAAGACTTTATCTCGATGATATTTTATATTGTCAGCCGATATATTGCTATATCGACTAATATATTGGGTCAAAGACTTTATCTCGATGATATTTTATATTGTTTTCTTTTGTTTTGTGTTTTTTTCTAATATATTGGGTCAAAGACTTTATCTCGATGATATTTTATATTGTTTTCTTTTGTTTTGTGTTTTTTTTTATATGTCGACCGCTATTGAAAATACGACCAATATATCTCTTTGAAGATATCGAGAAAATCATGTCATTTTTAATTTGATTGTGGGCTCGGGTTTGGATCGTGTTTGGGATACAAAATCGGAACCCACAAAACCCATGAAAGGCCACAATTCTTCTCCCAAATCTCTCCACTCTTGACTCTTCCAAATCTTAAGCATTTATCTTGATGCAAGTTCTTATATTTAAAATTCATTACTATGTTAGATTACATATTACAATGTCATGTTATGTATGAATATTATCCCATATGACACCTAGTATTATATACATATCTCTAATTTTTACAATCCGATATTGTAGATTTTATTTGTTTAATATTTATCCGATGTCCAACACTTTGTAGTAGTTCTTCGAAAGCCTCTTCTAAAATTTTCTAAGCGAAGTATATAATTTCAGGGAATAATTCAAAATCTTGAGACTCATTCAAAATATGATGCTATAATTTTTCCACATCTCATTACTATATAAATATAAGCTATGCATGTGGCCTCATATTGTATGATGAATATTATTTATCAATCGGATCATATACTATTGTTTGTGGATAACAAAGTTTTCAAATCTTTTAAAGGCTTAACTGAATTTAAATACCTTATAATTTATCAAAATTATACTTATATACCTCCACTTGTATCTTGTTGTGCTTTCTTTTTAATTTAAGATAACGTATCATGTTGCACTTAAATGTCCTAATGTTTTCTAAAATTTTATGTTTGTACATTTTGTCCTATTACCTAAACATAAGAATGTTCTTTATATTTTCTTATATGAGTGTCATGGTATAATTTTAGGACAATTCTATGTTTTCTATTCTTTCCATAAATTCTTTACTAACATGCAATTATCTATTAATATATTATTATACATTATTAATAATTAATATGATGTAGAGTTTTATAATAACATTGGAAGTTTTAGAGACCAAATTATACCCATTTAAAGTGACATATAATATCATTAATTGATAATGATAAATTAATTTAGTTTAGTTAGTATCTACTACTTATAAACTAAAGGAGAACAACAAAAGAGTTCTGATGAACAGTAAAATAACCACCAAAACAGCCTCTCCGACTAAGCATTTTATTGCTTTTATTAAAAAAAATTAATTAATAACCAAATAACCGCTCATCATTTCTAATATAACTGTATCCCCTTAACATATTCTTCCATTCAGCGATAACCGCCTCACATTCTTCGATAACGCCGCCCCTCTCACTTCGCTCTCTATCTCTCTCTCTCCTTTTTCACTTTCTCTCTCCTCCCCCAAAAGACCAGATCCCGGAACACCACTTACCACCCCTGTTTTAGGGTTTCGCCGCCGCTGACACCCAAAGTGCCTTCCCTCAGTTTCTAGGTGTAGGCTGTCTAAAAATCACAATGGATAGCTAATCCCTATCAAGCCCTGATAATGGAAGTTACAA